AAATAATAGAAGTGAAGCTTTCAAAAAATGAAGGAAAAGGGTAAACCGATGAGATAGGTAAGACTAATAGCTGACTCCTACATGACTAAGCACTTGTAGAGCCATCTATTCATAAAGAAAATAGATAAAACTTTTATTACAGTGGGCATGGCATTGTAGTCTTGTCACCCGCACTCATTGCGTTAAAGAAAATGCCCACCATCAACTCTAACTCTTGTAAGCTCTAACATATATCGTGGGGTTCAGACCATATTTCCATATTACCCTAATCCTCTACACTCTTGTTTATGGCTGACTTATATATTCTGCCAATGCCTCTTTTCCCACTCGCCTTGACGGTCCCCCATTACAGTCTTTGATTAGCCCCAAGTGCCTTCTAATCCTCAATATTGAGAACCTATACACTAAATCAGGCCAACCATCCCTTTTTCAACATCTTGCCCTTCTATCTCAAAAGAGCAATGCACATTTTCACCAATTTTGTCTCCAAACAAACTGTCCCTAAATCCTTTTCATCTTTTCCTACTCTCCACCTGCTTTACCTACTCCTTTCCCTGTTTCTATTGATGCACTCCTTTTCCAGTCACCCTTTCCTCAACTCTAATCCCATACACTTTTTGCCCTTTCATTTCATCCTGGGTTCATACCCTCATTCTATAATTGCTATTCTGTTTTCCTTAATCCACCCAAATCAAACAACCCACCTTCTGTCTTTCTCACCCTCTGCCATCTTGTCCACAATCCACCAGCCCCATTTCTTACATATTCCAGCCACTGCCTACTACCTCCAAGTTAAAACTTTCCTTTATGACTGCTGGCAATCTTTGTGGTCAGGTCTTACCACAAATAAATTACAAATCATTAAACCTTCCATCTCTCCAGGCAGTGCCATTCTGCCAGAACATAATAACCATATTATTTATATGGCCTTTGATGTGTAGCACATTTATTAGTTTAAATCATTAACCAACCTGTTGCATAGCTCATACTTGCACATATATGTACACACATACTGTACATACATGCATACAAACATACATTTATAGACAAAAATATTTCGACTGTCTGTAAGTACTGAATGAAATAAAATAATATATATTCAGCAAGAAGAAGAAAAAAAAGAGTAAGATACAGAAAGAAGGGGGGAATTCCACTTATAGATTATTTGCTTTCCAGTGGGCAGTGGAAAGTTTTCACAGGTAATGAAGAGGGAGGGCTGCTGGGCTGGTGGGCGTGGCACCGCAGCCGCCAACTCACACCTAACATCCCACCCAGTGACTGCTACATGATTGCCTCCACTGTTTCTTCCAAGATTCTGAGGGCTATAGCAAACAAGGAAGGATTTCATTTTGTGGTGAGCTTGTTTTGTCTATTGTTTACTTTGTTTGCTCCTTTCTTAGTTTCTTCATTATATATTGGCATGTGCCATGATTATGTTCATAAAAGTTTTTCTTGTACATAAGAAGAACCATAGTGTGTAGACATGACATGTTTTTTTTCTCCCTTTTCATCTTTTCCTACTCTCCACCTGCTTTACCTACTCCTTTCCCTGTTTCTATTGATGCACTCCTTTTCCAGTCACCCTTTCCTCAACTCTAATCCCATACACTTTTTGCCCTTTCATTTCATCCTGGGTTCATACCCTCATTCTATAATTGCTATTCTGTTTTCCTTAATCCACCCAAATCAAACAACCCACCTTCTGTCTTTCTCACCCTCTGCCATCTTGTCCACAATCCACCAGCCCCATTTCTTACATATTCCAGCCACTGCCTACTACCTCCAAGTTAAAACTTTCCTTTATGACTGCTGGCAATCTTTGTGGTCAGGTCTTACCACAAATAAATTACAAATCATTAAACCTTCCATCTCTCCAGGCAGTGCCATTCTGCCAGAACATAATAACCATATTATTTATATGGCCTTTGATGTGTAGCACATTTATTAGTTTAAATCATTAACCAACCTGTTGCATAGCTCATACTTGCACATATATGTACACACATACTGTACATACATGCATACAAACATACATTTATAGACAAAAATATTTCGATTGTCTGTAAGTACTGAATGAAATAAAATAATATATATTCAGCAAGAAGAAGAAAAAAAAGAGTAAGATACAGAAAGAAGGGGGGAATTCCACTTATAGATTATTTGCTTTCCAGTGGGCAGTGGAAAGTTTTCACAGGTAATGAAGAGGGAGGGCTGCTGGGCTGGTGGGCGTGGCACCGCAGCCGCCAACTCACTCCTAACATCCCACCCAGTGACTGCTACATGATTGCCTCCACTGTTTCTTCCAAGATTCTGAGGGCTATAGCAAACAAGGAAGGATTTCATTTTGTGGTGAGCTTGTTTTGTCTATTGTTTACTTTGTTTGCTCCTTTCTTAGTTTCTTCATTATATATTGGCATGTGCCATGATTATGTTCATAAAAGTTTTTCTTGTACATAAGAAGAACCATAGTGTGTAGACATGACATGTTTTTTTTCTCCCT